GTCTCTCCTCTCGAGGCTGTATTGATCCAAAGCATCTTCCATTTCCATCATACAAACACAGGGTTTGTTTATCTGCGTCTGAAACGCACACTTCTACAGTAAAATATCGATCGAGCTGAGCAAAAGACTGGACCGCCACATAAAACAAACCACAATGACCTTGAGATCTCAGAGACTCGGAGAGAGCCTGAGCTTGAAGAGAAAAGAAATGCACGGATGATGCAGGAGAAACCTATAGATGATCAAGAGGGAAAAACAGAGGCTTTAATTCCTCTTCATAACACGTGACAGATCACGTCAATAATTAAGGAATTTAACTATTCTGATTCCACTTAATGCTTCCAGTAAAATCAGAGTGTTTTGTAAGAATGTAGACAAACTATTAACTAAATCAAATGTCATGAAAATCATTCATTTCCAGGATTTTCTTTATAAACTGAAGCAGGTTCTCAATTGTCAACCCTACAACCTTATTATTTCAAGAAGATTATAATAGATTTAATTCATTTCAATGAAACAATTTAATTTCTCAGAAATAAACCAGAAATGTCAGTACATGAGCATATTAACTAACAGTGGGAAAACGGATTTCTCTGCATTTAATGCAATTCACCCCATTCATACAATCTGACCATCTGCTGAACATCAAACACATGACATCTGACTCGTCCCGTGTAATACAACGCTTCAATCCATGATGCTCCTTCTGTTCACATAACCTTCTCTGAACTGTAACGGATGCAGGAGGAAGAGCCAAAATATTCATCACTCAATTGTGGAATTAAAATCAACAGGAAATGACATTTGCATCCCATTTTAATTCCATAATGTGATGTATTTCTGAGTGAAATGCGTGCAAGGACTGTCTGGATGGCATTGTTTTCTTTACATTATTGTGCAACTAATGGGGAAAAAAAGAGTGAGAAAATAGCTTAACTAGAATACGAAAATAACTTTTACTGTACCTTCTGATCACACTGCACAAAAGTGATGTTCTTCCTCAGTAATTTTGTCTTGTTTTCCAGTGCAAAATTGTACAGATTCCTGAATCAAGACACACTGAGAAAATGACTTAATATAATATGTCTTATTTTCTGAGAAATTGAACAAAATGAAGTGAATTTATGATCAAAACAAGACAAATATCTGCCATCGGGAAAACAAGTTTTCAAACCCCATTGACAGATATTTGTTCTTGTTTTAAGCATTTTTTTTTTTCCATTTCTCAGAAAACTGGACTTTATCTTCATTTTGCATCTCAGGTAAATGTATCTTGTTTTAAGGATGCTTAGATATTTGTACTGGAAGACGGGACAAAAATACCGAGGAAGACATTTTTTGCAGTGCATGCAACATTTAATGCCCTAACTATGAATTTAAGACTTTCTGCTCCAATTTAAGACCTTAATTTGCGGAAGGGAGAATTAACACTTTTTAAGACCTGCAGAAACCCTGTAATATTACTTCCAATAATTCCCAATTACATTCATGTTTTTCTATTAAAACAACAACAACAAATGTGGCACAGAGTTTGCATACGTGCATTTATTTGGCAGCCACAATTGCAAACAATTTAGTCGAGATCCGTGTTTGGATTTATTACAGTTCGTCACTGAGAAGGTTTGATGGCAGATTTCTGCAGCAAACAGCTCAAGCAACTATGAGAAGGAACACAGACTGGCTCTATTACACTTTCATCATGTTTGCTGATGTTTGTAGATCATCAGTGCTTTTCTGTATTCATTTCACCTTAAGCATGGAAAAAAGGTTGTCAACGAATATTTTTAGCCATAGTTTTCGTTAACGAAATGAACACTTCTCATAACCTTATCAGAAACCTGTTTGAAGCAGGTAGATGGGCCTGGTTTGTGTTTGTGTACCTTTGCGCAGGTTGACGAGCGGCTGGAGGATGCCCCTGCGGAAGGCAGCCATGGGGTCCTGCACGCAGGAGCGCAGACTGAGCATGCTCTGCAGGTGCGGCTCTTTCAGCAGCAGCTCTCTGTATGCAGTCAGCTGATGCGCTCGGCACAGGAGAGCAGCCACGCTGTGCACAAACTCAGGAACCAGACACGTGTACGTGTTATCAGCCTGACAGTAATGATACGCCACCACCTGCAGAGAGAACCAGAGACCTTAAAAACCTCATACGCATCTAATTTACATTCAGAATCATGGAACAGTTACAAGCATGCAATATTTGCTGTTATTTACAGTGGGTACGGAAAGTATTCAGACCCCCTTAAATTTTTCACTCTTTGTTATATTGCAGCCATTTGCTAAAATCATTTAAGTTAATTTTTTTTCCTCATTAATGTACACACAGCACCCCATATTGACAGAAAAACACAGAATTGTTGACATTTTTGCAGATTTATTAAAAAAGAAAAACAGAAATATCACATGGTCCTAAGTATTCAGATATTTCAGTTTTTCTTTTTTAATAAATCTGCAAAAATGTCAACAATTCTGTGTTTTTCTGTCAATATGGGGTGCTGTGTGTACATTAATGAGGAAAAAAAATTAACTTAAATGATTTTAGCAAATGGCTGCAATATAACAAAGAGTGAAAAATTTAAGGGGGTCTGAATACTTTCCGTACCCACTGTATATACAATATAATATATTGCCATTTTTACTCTATGCATTTGCTCTGAAATGCCTTTTTAAATCAGAGGAAACAATCAAATAAACAATGCATGTTCTCCAGTTTTTCACCAAATTAAAAAAGGAGAATGATATTTCATTATTGCACAAAATATTTATCATATGCACAAAAAAAACAGTAAATACACAATTATCTCGGTCCAAGTAAGAAAGAAAAGAACACCTACAAACAAGTAAACAAAATAAAATAAAATAGAATAATTATGGAATGTTTAAATCAACATGAAACAACATTTGCACCATATTTTACTTCCAAAAATGTGATGTATTTTGGTAAAATAAGATATTCAGTGAAAACAAATGCATGGAAGTACTGTATGGAAGAAAATAAAATATAAAAATGTAATATAATTATATACAATATATTTCATATATATTACCATATTTACTCTATACATTTGCTCTGAAATGACTTTTTTTTTTTTTTTTTTAAATCAGAGGAACAATTATTTTAACCAAACAGAAACTGTAGTCAAATAGATTCAAATTAATATTTAATATAAGAATTAAAACCTAGTAAAAATGCATGTTCAATGCATAAACAATGCATGTTCTCCACAGTTGTTCACAAAATAAAAATTCATCATTGTCATTTCCTGTATATGCACAAATACAGCAATGCACTGTAAATATAGCTGACAATTATCATGGACCAAGTTTATGAACATACTGACAAGAATATCAAATAAGTATATAAACAAAATAAAATTATAAAACTAAATTATTATGGAATTTAAAATCAACATGAAGCAACGTCCACACTACATTTTACTTCCAAAATGTATCTTTGGGTAAAATAAGATACTCAATGAAAAAAACCCCCCGCATGGAATAACTATATGGAAAAATTAATATAATGTATTAAAATGTATAATAATATAATATAATATAATATACTGCAGTTGATGCACAACTTTACAAATATGAAAAGAAACCAAAGGGAACATCTTTAGTAAATTCAGATGAGTTTACAATGATGTTTTACCTTGGTTTTCTTATTCTGTGGTAAAATAAAATAAAATATGAAAAATACATAATAAATGAATAAATAAATATATAGTGAGGATCTAAACAATATAAAATAATATAATATAATGCCATTTTTGGGCTACACGGTTGCTGCCAGAAGCAGTGCGGCATAGTGGTTTACAGATCAAGCTCTTTTTAAAACGTTTGGTTTCTATAACAGAGCTGCCATCATTGGCTGCTGAACTGAAGCTCATAACAGAACAGCAGGAGGTCTGTGAGCCCTCGAGGAGCTGCTCTCAATCCATGTTGATCTAACACTGAAGCCCAATATCATGCCACTGTTTGCACTTGATAAATAATGCAGCTCACAAATGAGAGCTTTTCTGACCCATCCCTGCCATCCAGTCATCCAGCAGTTATAAATGATAAAAGTTCATCAGCTTAATGGATAAAAACACGAGGACCTGAACACAGATGGACAGAGAAATGGACAAAGATCATTAAATGAGGAACATCTTAGTTTATATGCAAAATATAAACTGGGAACGGGGAAGATCTTAAGTGAATTCAGATGAGTTTACAATGACTTTTTCCTTTTCTGTGGCAAAATCAGTGTAATGGTCAACCTGAGTTGGTTTATTTCGTAATTCTTTATTCAACTCCTCCCTTGAAAAACCTCACATACCCAAAGGAAGCATCAGATGTAACAATGTATTAAGTGAAATATTTCTCTCTGAAGTGAAGCGATGTCCTAACAGCAGGGTTCACCACCATTCACAGGAGTAACGCTCACGATTTGCTCAGGAAACCTGGCAGAGACGGGTGAGACAGCAGGGCACCTTCTGAGGGACCCTCTTAATTTGTCTTAATTTATTATTGAAACCTCTCTGTTTGACAGATGGGGATATTTCCCATTTGGACAGGTGGGGTTAATAGGAACGGCACGGTCCTCACCCTGAGATGAGGTCTGGGAAAAGAGCATCAATCTAAAGTTCTTTAAGGTGGAGGGACCGTAAACTCGCTCGCTTTGAGCCAACACTCCCAAGCGCACATTAACTGGCTCAATGTCTTAATTGCTGTGCATTTCCCTCGACCCTTCAACACACTGATTAGACCATCATCACGCAGGATTTAGACAGCAAAAGAAATCTTTAGTTTGAGACACTCAGCAGCAACTAAACCAGGAGCAGAACTGTATATTCTTTTGGACATATAACATTTCTTATCACAAAGTCTACACACGTGTTCAACTACTATGAATATAATAGAATAGAATAGGACATTCAAAAAATAAATTTAAAAAAAACAATGCATAATGGAAGTATTATAGAGAAGGGTATATAGTATAGTATAGTATAGTATAGTATAGTATAGTATAGTACAGGCCCGGCTCCAGAATAAAATCTGGGTGCTTTTTAAATTAGTGAGGGTGCTCTCTCTCGCTATATAATATATTTGTGCCGTCCATTGCTATGGCGCAAGAGCGTTCCCTTTATAATCACTAAAAGCTGTCACTCATCTTAGTTCATCACAATCTCACAAAGTTACGTTACAATCAATTAAGTTCTCATCGCTGCACAATCTCTTATTTACATTATTATTTAGTCTACACTTTGTTATAATGAGATGATTCGTGCTGAACACAACACCTGAACAAAAACTCCGGCGATTTGAGCTGTGAGTGGGTTCTAATTTAAACACCTCTGATTGGCTGTTGGGTTAAAAAAATCTACAGATATGTCTGTGATTGGCTACATCGCTCAACGCTGCAAAAGATGTTGAAATAGAAACCGATCTCCAGAGCGCAAACCATAAACTACTGGATTGTTTGTCAAATCTGCATTGAAATGCTATTATTACAGCATTAAATGAGAGTGCTATTGATTTAGTTTGAGGGTGGTTAGCACCTTCTAGCACCCCCGTAGAACCGGCCCTGGTATAGTATAGTATAACTGCAGAATTAAAATGAACCAATCTTACTTCTGAAATGTGATGTCTGAGTGCAATAGAATATTTAAAAAAATGCATAATGGAACGAATATATAATAAATATAATATAATATAATATAATATAATATAATTGAAATCAACATGAAACAACCCATTTTGCTTCCGAAATGTGATGCATTTAAGTGAAATTACTATATAAAAAAAACATGATGAAAGGAAATATTATATAATATAGTATAATATAATATATGACCCTGGAGCACAAAAGCAGTCTTAAGTCGCTAGGGTATATTTGTAGCAATAGCCAAAAATACATTGTATGGTTCAAAATTATCATTAAAAATTATCAACCCATTTTACTTCCGAAATGTGATGCATTTAAGTGAAATTACTATATAAAAAAACATGATGATATTATAATATAATATAATATAATATAATATAATATAATGTGAGGTCTCTTCCTGTCTAAGTATGTTGAAAGTCAATAGTCTGGTGTGTCTAGAAGATTTACCGCCTGCGTGTATAATTGCAAAAAGGTATTAAAAAGATAAAGTTAATCAATTCTCCATCAACACAGCACCAACTGCAAATATGTGAATTAAGCAGTCAACAAACTAATGGAGAGAGCTTTACTAATCAGCCTGCGCTTACGTGACTGATGCATGCAGGGATTGATTGGAATACACCCAATTTCATTTGCAAAATGCCACACACTCATTTGTTAAAAATGTAGCATTACGCTGTAAACTGATTAGTGATGAGCCTCTAATTAAGTGCTTTTGTCTTATCCGTGGATGTGTAATTTGCCGCTGTCTGCTGTGCGCTTGCCGTCCCTGAGCCTCAGCGTCCACGTGGCTGCAATTCTCTTTAAATGCGACCAAATGACCACCCTGCTCACCTGTTGCCATGGTAACAAGCGAGGGACGGCAGGTCCCCCGGGAAACATGGTTGATACATCATTTAGCTCACACTGTGTTTGACAGAGGACAGCTCGGCCGATTAAGATGGAGATGCATGGAGCTCGACTGAAATCCAAAGCACTGCGCTTGTACTATGTCTCTGTACACAGCCTGTCTGATATCACTCGAGAATCTCCCGTCAGCATTGAAATAGTCTGTTTATCAGAGTGTCTTTCTAAAATAATGTGTACCTTTACCTGGGATGACATAGATCTATCAAATTCATAATATTGTACATGTTGCATATACTAAAATAGGTAACACCAAACTGTCAGCATCCATTCATCTGAATAACTAAAAGGTGCTTAATCAGATGAATGGATGTTTAACCTCTTAATTCGCCCTCATCTTATGTCATATATTTGTGAGTGTTTTCATAAAAAAAACATACATATAATAATAAAAATAAATAAATGTAAATATATTTTTCATTCTTGGTTCAAGTTCATATATAGAATACAAACAAACTTTTTATTGTTGCAGAATAAAATAAAATAAAATAAATGAATAATAAATAAAAAAATAATAGAGGATCTACACTCTTGGTTCAAGTTCTACATAAAATAC